GGGGTAGGGAGAAAAGAGAGAGAGAGAGAGAGAGGGAAAGTGAGAAAGGAAGCTGCTGGGTCCGGGACTCGAACCACAGTTGGCCACACAGGAATCTAGTGCTCTTAACCACCATGCCACCTGCCAGCCCCCCAAAGATTTATTTAGTTAGTCAGTTCTATTTGTTATTATTTTTAAATTTGACCAGAGAGAGAAAAAAAGGAAAGTGAGAAAGCAAACCACCAGATCTGGGACTTCAACCGTATACGCCAAGTGGGAATCCAGCACCTTTAACCACCACGCCACCTGCCAGCCCCCAAGTTTCCTTTATATAGCTGTGATATTGTATGGTAGTGTATACCCAAAGTCAAATTGTGTACGCATCTCAAGGTACTTACAAAGGGAAGCTTTTATTGTGCTGACCTAAAAAATGGAGCTTTGGTGCCTGAGTGCAGAGACCAGACCTGGGGCCTGTGGGGACAGGGAGGCCCAAGTGAGAAGAGAATGAGCAGAGGCTGTCCTGCAGGGAGTGGCCAGAGCCAGCAGCTTTCCAGGGGCTACTGATCCCCTGGGAGGCCACAGATCCTTTGTCCTGAGTTAACCCGAATGATCGGGAAGTTTACAGGCAACCACTAACCGCACTGCGTGGCCTGTGCTCGCTCCAGGAGCCTGCCCTCTGCATGCTTCAGCTCCAGTGGTAGGTCTCTATGGACGGACACATCATGCATTTCCTCCCGGACCTCTGCAGGGGCCAGTGACCATGATCCTGCACCCACATGTGGCAGCACGGAGCTGTCTGGGGCCCATACCTCCCAGTCCCTGCCAGCAGGCTCACCTGGAAAATCAGTACACTCTGACTCCTGAGAGGCCCCACTCGCCTAATAGCAGAACACCAGGGTTTCCAAGCGACTCTGTGGGACCCAGGGAAGGAAGGGGCATGGTAGGCGATGCAGCAGAGAAGGTGGACCGAGGACATACAAAGCTGGGCAGGAACCAAGAGCCTTGCTCAGCCCCTGTTCTATCTTTTCTTTTTGTCTCATTTATTTATTCATTCCTTGAGAGAGAGAGAGAGAGAGGGACAGGCACCCTCAACAGGGTCCTACTCTGCAATCCACTGCCAGCCTCAGCCAGGCTGGATCGTGGGCACTTGCATGCATCAGTGTATACAGGGAGGCCTCAGGATGTGAACCCAGGACCTTCCCATGTGGGCCCAGTTGCATCATCACTGAGACACTGCCTGGGCCCCAGACCCCTGGTTTTCTAAATGAGGAGGCAGAATGGGGAGTTCACTGGGTGCATTTACTAAGCACCTACTGTGTGTAAGGCACTGAGCCAGCCGTGCAGGGGGATAGATGCAGATTCTCCCTCCCTTGAAGTCAGGGAGACCATTCTTTTCGTGCTATTATGTCATGGTTCATTGAACCACACATGCCAAGAGGGAGGGTGCAGGAGGGGAGGGATGACATGTGAGCAGATTCTTACGGGAGGGAGCTAGCACAGGGAAGGGCCATCTTGGGGTGAAAAGGGGCCACTAGTGGTGGGCGATGCCAGCTGGTGAGCCGGGCAGGAGCCAGACCTTGTGGGGCCTTGGAGGTCACTATGTGAACACTGCCTTTATCCTGAGCACGGTAGGGAGGACCTGCAGCAAGCACGCAGGTGGGAGGAACCTGCCTTCCTTCCGGTTCACAATTTCAAAAGCAGAGCTCTGCAGTTTCTCTGGGGAGGCCGCGTCCATGCTGGCTGGAGCTGCGGGCTCCGAGGACACAGAGGCCATCCTCTCTAAATGCAGAGGTTCACCGCCCCCACCCCTACCCCCAGTGATATAAAACAATTTCCTCGCCCTGGCCAGGGAGGCAGATGACCTCATTGGACTCTTTCCATCTCTCGCTTTCATAGAGAAATTACAATTTATAATTGGATGAAATCACGCGGGTGGTAATAGCAATAAGGGCTTGGCTGAAGCTCGTCGCGTTCACCCCTCATCAGGGGCTCTGTCCTCATCTTTCCTCCTGTCCAGCCCCACCATGGCCCTTCCGAGGGGCTGCACCCACCTGCCTGCTCGCACTCAGAGTACTGGCCAGGCCTGAGCCACTCAGTTCTATCCCATGGGGCTCACTGGCTCTTCTACCTCCTTCCTCCTGGGTCTCCAGGAACCCTCACCTTACCTGCCAACCCCAGCCTCAGCCTGCATGCCACCTAGCTGGCACACACTCTTGCACATGCACTCCCTGCTTGGCTGTGAGCCCAGAGGGCAGCCCCCCACCCCCCCAGTTCACTGGGCTCGTAAAAACAGGCACCTTTTATCTGTAACAGTCCCAGCCAACAAGCATTTCTCAAACCAGCCACCTTCAGCCCCACAAAGAAAAGTGCCCAGATGCAGCTGAGCCCATCTGGATCTGATTTCAAACCAGAGCTCACACTCTCAGATGTGTAATAAAAGCCCTTTTCCAAAGAGGGGCTCCCGCAGGGGGAGTACGGACACCAGGGCACTCGGGCCTTCCACACGCCGCACTAATGAGAGGTGATGGGGAGGGCTCTGGGATTTGTTTTGGATTCCGAGGAACAGCCTGTCCTGCCCCCCACCCGCCCCCAGGTCTCTGTGGAAGAGGAGGGCAGTGGGGGTGTACAGAATGGCCCTGCCTCTAAGCAGGGTGGTTGCAGGAGGGAGGCTGGGCACACCGGAGACCCAACTTCCCTGGTTCCCAGATAAACCTGCCTCCCACGGTTCTGCAAGCCCAGGCCACAGTGGCCCAGTTGGAACCTTTGAATGTCACTTAGCAAGAGGAGCAGATGATGAGGCACACGGAGCCAGCTCTGGGGTGGGCTGGGCGGGCAGCCCTGTACCGCCAGGAGCTCTCCAAACTTCATTCTTCTGAGTCCTTCCACCCCCAGAAAAAGGAAACCAGGTAGCTTCAGAGAAGGGCACCCTGCATGGCCAGGTGTTTGGAAAGAGACTCCAGGAGAGGGGGACGAATGTCCCAGGCCCTCGCTGGCTCATGGGAAAGTGGCATCCACGGAAACAGGACCAAGGGATGGGGGAGGGGGTGCCACAGCCCAGGCCATGGTGATGAATGCCCGTCCCACGGTTCCTAATTTCCTGGGGCTTAATCACTTGTATTGTCTTTGGCAGGTGAGGAGGCAGGGAGTGGGTGAGAAGAAGACTCCTGGACAGCCTGAGACCAGGAGTGAAGCAGGAATAACCCATCCTCCCCGCCTCCCCAGCAAGGAAACCTTGTCTACAATCAGGAGCAGCCAAGCAGGACTGCCCCCCACCCCCAGCCCCAAGCATCTCCCAAAGAAGGCATGTGGGGCCTGACAGCTCAGCCGCGCCTGCCAGCAGCTCCGGCCCCTCGGTGAACATCTGAACTCCTCAGCGGGGTAATGGACCCCCTCCTTCCCCCTGGAGACACAGCCTGAGTGGCAGGAATACCGATTCTTTGCAGAGTGGCTCCCTCTCAGTTCTGTCACGCAAGAACGCTCTCTGCACCGAGCCTATTCTGCCAAGTGACTTAAAGGGATTAAAAAAAAAGAAAGAAAAAAAGAAAGAAAAAACCTTGGTAAAGAAAAAGGGGGTAAAAGCTACGCAGAGCCCTTTCAGAGGAGTTGGCTGCCTACAGACAAAGGGGCGAGAGTTGAAAGAGGGCCGTGGAAGTACCAAGCGACAAGAGGCCACCCTCCCCGGGCATGGGCACCGGGTCATAGGGCATGCCCGGGAAGCAGGGGGTCAGAACACCCTTGGGCGGTGGTCCAGAGTCCTGGGGTGGCGGGGGGTGCTCCTGTGCACCCGGCACAGACCCCCCTCATTCCGGTGGGAGAAGCCATAAGCACCTGTGGCCTAAGGTGCCAAAGATGCTGCTTGGGACCTGGAGCCTCATCTGAACACGAGGAGCCTGGGAGACCAAAGCACAGGGCCCTCTCCTGGTGCTTGGGGGGTGCCCAGTGCCTCCCAGCACCCGAGGTCTGCACCCTGAGTGGAGCATCACGAGGCCTCCTGCGTCCTCAGGGCCTGGGTGACAGCAGCCTGGACCCACGACTTCCTGAGGCTCATCAGCAGGGACAGTGACCCCCATAGGACCCAGCAGGCTCAAGGGCTGCAACGCGAAGGAGGTAAGGCCAAGGGATGCACGCAGGTGCAGAAGGGCTCAGCGTGTTCCAAGACTCCTGGCGCCCAGAGCACAGCCTGCACGACAGTGGAGTCCTGCCCTCCCAAGCCCCCTTCCTCACTGGGTTGCAGCAAAGCCTCTCAGAGCTCTCCTTCTATGTATGGCTCCCTCCCATCCACCTTCGCTCAGTTCACAAAACCGGCAGCTTCTACTGCCTGGGGAGGGATCCTTTGCTGCCTGGAGGTCTAGGTGCTGCTGCGCTCTGCCCCACAGTGGGTGAACCCTGGATGCGGGGAGTGGCCCCTCTAGGAGTAAATGCCCTGCTCTTCTCGTTCTGACCCATCCCTGCTAGGATTGCAGGGCTATGGGTTTCGCTCAAAGGGGCCAGCAGTGAGACCTTGGGCCGAGTAAGGAAGGAAGCAGGAGCTTTGGGGACACTGGCCATGGCACCTGCTGCCCTTGAACTGGGAGTCCACAAGTTCTCCCAACGAGGCCTGCCCAAGTAATGGAGGGCAAGAGTAAGGTCGATCCAAAGTTTCCACCCAAGGCCCTGTTCCTGCTTCCACTTCAGCCTCTTCGTTGGTTTCCGGCCGGCGAATTTAGGCCCCGAGAGGAGGGGCCGTAGTGCCCTAGGTCACACAGCAGGCTACCCGAGCTCCCTTCTTCCTGGGTCAGATCGGCCAGGGCAGGGCGGAACCGAGCTGGGGTCCGGATCTTTCCTGGGGGCGGAGCCTACTCGTCCCGGACTCCCCACAGGTGAGGAGGGAGGAGCCGCGCCTCCACAAACTGATCCCAGACAACCTGGAGCGGCGCGGCGTCCTGGGCAGGGCAGGGAAGCCCCAATTCATTACCAAGATGGAAAATGACACTTCCCCGCTCTCTCTCCCAGGAGAGGGGCTGATTTATGACTGCGCCAGGGCCCGGGACATTCGTCAGCGCGGCACGGCGCACACGCCGTCTGCGGGGGCATTAATAGCCGTGTTATTAGCCACTGGCGTGAAAGATGCCCTGCGGATGGGCTATTTGCTGTTATTTATTATAAAGGCGCGCCAGCCCGGCAGCGGGGCCGCGAGCGCGCCGGAGCCGGAGCCCCAGCCGGAGACCGGCCCCTGCTCCTTCTCAAGCCCCGGAGCCTACCCCACCGCCCAGCACCAGTCCCTGCTCTCTTTCCCATCCCTAGGAGGGGTAAGGGGGTAATTCCAGGGTTGCTGCCCGCTGCCCCAAGTATTCATGGAGGAACACAGCTGGGCGGGCTGTGTTCAGCCAGCTCCTATCCCCCGGAAGGCAGGCAAGCAGAGAGAACGAACTGGGCTTTGGGGCCAGACAGAGCTGGGCTGGGCCGTGGTCTCCATTGTGAGCAGTGTGACTTGGGGGCAGGTCCCTTCCCCTCGCTGGGTGCGCTTCTCCTCTGTGCGTCGGCAATGCGGCCGCTGGGTTGTGGGCAGCTGGAAAGGAGAGGATTCTGTGAAAGGCCCAGCAGGCAGCTGTGCTCAGCTCTGCCAGCTCCTGCTCACAGGCCTGCTGCACAGAGCCAGAGGAGGAACGCTGGGGGGTGGGGGAGCAGCACCCATGGGATCCTGCTTGAGTGAGGACACTGTCCCCCCTCAGCCTGCTCACACCAGACCCCAGGGGGATCCAAGGTCCCAGGAGGTGGGCCAGCACAGGGCTTCTAGGCCAGTGGAAGGTTCTCTGTCCTGGACCTGTCCTGTCCTCTCTGGGCCTGAAACAATCTCCAAAATCCTTTTCCTCCCCGATTCCAGGGTCCCGAGGGTGAGTGCCACCCTCATGTGTATCTGTGAGGTGGGAGGGAAGGGGTTAAAGCCATTGACAGGGATGCTGGGCTTGCCCGCAGAGGTGGGCGGTGCCAGGCCAGCCAGTCACCCCACATCAGAGGTGAGCAGGGACAGGAGGGTGGTGTCTCTGGAGTTTGCTTCCTCTGGGACTGGGGAAGCCCCCCAGGGCAGCGGGGAGGGGCAGTAAGAGACCTGAGAAGGGTGGAGCCCAGGATGGCAAGGCCAATGCCCAAGTTTGTGCCCAGTTCCCCACCTCCTGCTGCACGGTTCAGACCAGTCTCTGCCTCTGTGAACTACTGCTCACGTCCCCAGGCCTTCCAGGGCTAGGGCTGAAGGAGGGCCAGCCTCCCTCTTCTCTCACTGCCCCCTTCTGGGTTTCAGATTCTGAGGCCTCCCTTTTGGCACCTCCATTCATTCATTCAATAGCTGTTTACTGAGCAGCCCCATGCCAGCCTCCATGCTAGACATGAAACGTGACTAAAGGAGTTTACGTCCTGCTGGGTGGGGTCAGCCAACAGGTAACCAATAGGCTGGGAATCAGTGGGTACCAAGCCTTACTCATCACACTGTTCCTCTTTCTCAGACCACGCGGCCTGGCCCTGTTTTAGGGACTATCACCAACACTATTGGTGATGCCCTCGCTCCCCCTTCTGTCCAGCCCCCGCCTCCCAAATAGAGGCCGTTAGAACCCTCTCTTCCCCTGTAAAACTCCACTGAGCATTCCTTTTTCCTTTTCAAAGGGAATTAAGTCTCAGTCTAGGCAGCTTTACTAAAAATGGACACAGACAGACAGAACTATCAGGTGCAGGAGCATCTTATTAAATAACACCGAGAGAGAAAGGAACAAAATTACACGTGTCTCCTTTCATCCCCCCACCCCCTCCTGGCCTTGAATAGTTTAATATCGAACACTGTTATCAATATAATTAACCTCTTAAGACACAATTTTAAAGTCTCGTTTTTTAAAGCGATTTACATTTTCTGAAGTTCAGGACATCCTGCCGCCTGGCATCGGCACCGCCCAGACGGCCTACGCGGTTTAGGTGAACTCGGGGTGCGTTTTTAGTGGATTTGCATACCTGTCTGCAATTACTGCCAGTGATAACAGCTGATGCATAATGCATGCAGCATGAAATTAGAAAAATAATTAACTGTAGGTTTGCAAAGAATCCCTCCACACACACACACACACACACACACATACATGTGTTAAATGATACCTGGGGAAGGGTCCGAGGAGCAAAGGGCGATGAGTGTGGGTGGCTGACACACACCCCTGGAAGCCAGGGTTAGAAGGTCACTGAGCGTCATGGCATCCAGTCCCATGCCCGAGGGAGATGCCTCCGGTGGGCTGCAGTCTCTGGGGCACTTGCCCGATCTAGGGCTTGCAGAGCCCTACTCATGAATGTCTCACATTTTATTTCCCTTCTTGCCCTGAGCAGCTTTGGGAAGTAGGACTCAGGAAAGCACCTCCCGTTGTTAATAAATAGTAATGCTCCCCTCATCCTGAATACCTCTCTGCTGAGCACAGAAGTTATTTTATCCTCAAATAGAACTTATGGTCCCGTTTTACAGATGAAGACCTGAGATCGAGGCTGTCTCACAATAGGGCAGGCAGCTGAACAGGGCCCAGGTCACAGGGCCACTCGGCTTCACAGGAGACAGGCTTCCAGGGGGCGGGAGGGGCAGCTCTCCCTAGGCCTCCCTGAGCACCTGAAGGCAGAGGCCTTGCCTGCCTACCTCGGTCTTCCTCGCTCTGTCTCGCGTGCAGGTGAGCCCCCAGAAATCTGGGGGCCCTCGTATATTTGAATGAAGGTTTGCTGAGGCCCCATCACAGCGATGACATAACCCTGCCTTGGTGGAGCGCCTCATCTGCTAGGGCAGCTCAAGGCGCCAGCCACTGCTCCCTGCGGGGCTGGGGTCTCGCCAACCTTTGCTTCTCAGTGGCTGAGAATCTGCAGTCTACCCTGCACCCTCATTCCTGCCTCAGCGTCCTGTTCTGCTGAGACATGCAGGCCTGGCAAGATTTAGGGAAGACGGGGGAATTATTCTTGCTGAAAGGACCAGGAGGGAGAAAGATACCTACAAGAGATCTCACCTGAGGGCTGGGAAGTGGGGGAGAGGTCGGGGACCCAGGGGTCTGCAGCAGCCACACACCACAGGACTTGCCAAGCTTGGGGTGGGTAGGAAGTTACAGCCCCAGACAGGTGAACTGGAAGGGGGCTGAGAGATGGGAGCGAGGTGGGGGGAGGAGTGGCCAGTGCCCCTAACATCTACATCCACTGGAGCATGTGTTTGTCTACTAGTTTTTCATTTTTGTTTTTGTTTTTCATTTTTTTGGAGAAGCATATATATAAAATTGGCAATGCCTTTTTTTCACTCTGCTGTGGTATGCCATTCCTCAACTTGTTTGCCCTGTTGTACGCATTCCTGTGTCTGTTAAATGCTTCTTTCCTGAAACCCTCCCACCTCCTCCCCTGCAGTCTGGTATCTGCAGTTATACTCTTCCTCTGTGTCTCCAAATCTTTCCATTTCTGCCATCGAGGTACAGGGACCAATCCTGCTCTATTAGTTTCTGTTGTCTCTGCAAACAATACAGATCAGGGTGCCCCCTCCCCAGCTGACCCTGAGCCAGGACGGTGGCACCAGCCTCCTCCCCCAGCCATGGAACAGATTGGGAAGAAGCCAGAGCCAGGCCCCAGGCCCAGCTGGACAAGTCAGCTTTCCTTGCCAGCTTTGGGAAGTAGGGGACAGGCTCTGAGATGAGGCAGTAGCAGCCGGGGTCCCCAGCTGAGGAGGAACAGCAGACATGGGGCTAAAAGCCACTGAGAAAGAAGCACCATGAACCAGCTGAAGTTGTGCTGCCCTGCGAGGGCATCCCGGACGGGTGAGCGCCCCACGCAGCTCATGCTACCGCTCTGTTTCCCAGACCCGGACACCCAGGGGAGTTGATGCGTGTCCCCAGTGAAGGTGGACAGAGGCTCCACAGAGGGATCCGGGCCATGAGTGCGGCTCTGGGGAAAGGCTGCCACAGGTGGGCACAGAGGTCTTCCTGTGGTGGGCGGTATGTCACAGAGGAGGTCAGAAACTAGCTCGTATCCCGGATTTACACACTCGAGCAGGAGGGCTGGACCAGCCTCGCAGGGACCACCTGGCTGCTGGGTGAGGGAGGCCCACCTAGACCCACGAATCTACACGGGGTGCTGGGGGA